CCATCAGCCTGAGGAAACTGAATTCCTGTTCTGTTTACAAACGCTTCACTTGGACAAATTGCTATAATTGTATGAAACACAGTGACATAACTCTGATCTGTTAATGTCTATTCAAGATAACAGATTAATCAATGTCCTTATAATTCCAGGTAGTTTATATTATCCAGAGGATATACCTCTATTGCATAATCTACATTGACCTGAGTTAATAAATCTATGATCTCAAGGTTCTTTTTTTATCTTTATGGCAAGTTAATAAAATTCATGTTGACCGACTAAAAATGCTATGGAGCATTATAACAAGTGCTTAAAGGTGATCTCTTTAAACTAGCTTGAACACAGTGTGGTTAACATGTATTTATGATATGCAATTTATCTTTGCCTCTGTCTGGGGAGGGCGATTCTAGGAGGTTTATTGGTATTAATAAAATAAATAAAATAAAACATAAATAACAATAAGTAACACAACATTTCCTAATACTGTAAGATTAGCATAGACATTGATGGATACAGTTAATCCCCTAGAAAAAAAGAGATTTTTAGCAACTTCCCAAAGGCATAAGAGTGTGCCAGGCTACAGGATGCATGCTGATCTTGATAACACATGACAGATTTCCCATCTGGGCCTTGTGACTCTAATTGCTTTCTTGCCAAATCTCTGAAAGCTGTGGACCCTCTGCTTTGACTTCATTATATGTGCAGTTGGACCCTCTGCTTTGACTTCATTAAATGTACAAAACATCAATGTATACATCTCTTCAATTATTTGATATATGTTGAAAATTGCTGCCTTCCATGTATTAATATTAAAAACCTGTTTGAAGAGCATTAGGTAGGCTTCTATAATACAGCTTCTATGTCGTGACTTTTTTCGCATTGCCGGAGCTGGGGTGGGCACGGCCTCTTCATGATGCAATCGGCCCGCGGGCCAGCAGTTTGACACCCTTGTTCTATATCATTCTTCTTTGATAATTTTGTTAAGACTAAAATTAGAATTCATTCCTAGATCTGCAATGACTTCATCAGGATATAACTTGCTTGCAATTGATGCTGTCATAGAAGCCTCTTGAGATACTGTTGGCCAATAATCCAAGTTACTAAGTCTTTCTGGTGTTTTTGATCATACTCCTTAATTTTATGGTCTTGTCATCAAGATGAACAGCACTTGTGGTGTTATTTGCAATACATTTTTTTCTAAAAACTCTCAGAAAGTGTAGCAATTTGTTGGGTAGTAGTCACTTAAATTCATACCTATAAGATGTTCTTTAAATTAAAAACATCTCCTTTAACCTGCCCCCCCCATCTTTATCTTTTCATTATCCTGCTTCCCATAATTGTTCTTTGTGCCTTGGTGTATCCTAGCAAACATAAGATTCCTTTTCACCTAATCGTTCTTAAACAAAACAAGTTACAGGGGCACATATAGTGGAATAACATTTTTAAAACCCCTAATTAACTATTACCTTTGTCCACATAACTCAAAGGCATGATGAAGAGTAGGCAGGACTGAATAAGTGATGTCTAGATGGAGAAATTACATGAGCAGATTTGTTGCTGCTTCATATTTAATTGGAAATCATTGCAGCAAATCCCAACCATGTGTGGGCTGGTTATTGCTATTCAGTATTGAGCAAATACTTAGAACTTAATGTTATCTTTCTCTTTTCTTCCCCCCACTTTGTACTGACAAGGTAAAAAGAAAGGGGGGCATAACAGCAAAGTAAACCCTTTTCTCTTTTATGATCCATATTTAGTTCAACATAAGCAAACAGGATATAATCTTCAGAGATACAGCTGTTTAGCATATGGTTCTATTGGCTGTAATGAAGTGAAGAATTTTCTTTGGTCCACTGTTAAAAGAGAAAAGTTGTACTCTGCATGTGATAATAGGAAATTATCAGAACATTGCAGTCCAGTTCTTCATTCAAAAACATTTAGAAATTGTATATGTATGCAAAATATATGCATATAAAATACCTAAAGCATACTAAAATGTGTATGTCATAGGCAAATGACTACAGAATGCATATTTTATAGAGAAAATGTATCCAATTTACATGAAATGGATTTTCTACCCTTATATTACATTTTTTCAGAAAATGGACCAGGCCAAATTTATAATTCAACATATAAAACATAGACCCCCAGCCTCACTTGCAATATTAAAATCTTGGCACTTGAATCATTTCCTTTTTGGGGGGGGGCATGATACTGAACCTTATGCAAATCAGCATAAGTGGTGGCAAACCTTTTGGGCTCAGTGTGTCAAAAATTCAGAAAATGCCTAACTTGACTCTACTGGCATATCACTGCTCCCTCAATCGAAAGAGAAACAATTCTGTACATATTCATTTATTTTTTAAAAAAAATGGGTGGTGCTATGCATTACATAAACAAGCTAAATAATTATAAAAATGAAATACAAGTAAAAAAAAAATAAAATAAAACCACCTCATTTTCAGAGACTCCAGAGATTATGCAAGAGGACGCCCCATTCTCCTGCCACTTCCACAGCCTCAGAAATTTGGGTGAGAATGGAGTGTGCTTTCAAGAATAATTGTTGAGTGTTGGTGAATGTGGGCATGTCACCTTTGACATGTGTCTCATAGGTTCACAACCACTGTCTAGATGCAAAGCTACCATTCCCAGGATTATTTTAGCGCTGAAGTTGATTAAACATATCAATAAGAGCTTGTTCTCAAATGCCCTTCAATCCATTCCATTTGTAAAGAAATCAACCAAACAAACAAAAAATACCAGTGAATGGTCTGAAAGAATGCAAACTAAGACTCGCCTCAGTGTAACTCTTGAGATTTGCTTCAATCACCTTTTGTAATAGATGGAACAGATTTTTGAACAGAAGATTCAGAAGGATCTTGACAGACTTGAACTTTGGGTCCTATCTAATATACAGCTCAATAGTGAGAAAAGTAAGGTCCTGCACTTAGGCAGAAGAAAAAACAAACAAACCCAAAATGCACAAATACCAGATAGACTTAACACTACTGTCTGTGAGAGGAAAATAGGTGTTCTGGTGGACCATCACTTAAATATGAGTCAGCAATGTGCCAAAAAAAGCCAATGCAGTCCTAGGCTGAATCAACAGAGGGATAGCATAAAGATCAAGGGAAGTGATAGTACCATTCTATACTGCACTAGTGTGGCCACATTTGGAATACAGTTCTACCCAATAAACAAACAAACAAACAAATAATAAAAAATGCTGAGACTCTAGAAAGAGTTCAGAGAAGAGCAACAAAGTTGATAAGAGGTTAAATTGTCTGATTAATGCCCAAGGAAACTAGGTATGTTTAGCCTAACAAAGGGAAAACTTAGAGAAAACCTGATAGCAGTCTTCCAACATTTGAAGGGCTGTCCCATGGAAGAGGGGGTTGATTTAGGGTTGTTTTATTCTCCATAGCACCTGAGAGTAGGTAAGAAGCAATGGATGGAAGCTCTTCAGAGGGAAATCCAACCTGGAAATGAGGAGTTTCCTAATAGTGAGAATGATAGAACAGTTTGCCTCTGGGAATTGCTTTAGGTTTTCAAGAAAAGATTGGACAACCATTTGTTCAGGATGATATAAGGACTCCTGCATTGGGCAGGGGACTGGACTAAAAGACCTATGATTCTATGATTCTATGATTCTTTTAAAACTATTGATGGAAGCTTCAGAGGAGAGGCCTTATGAGTCATCACTTCACTTTATAAGGGAGCCATTTTGTTTAATGAGGGGAAGTTTCAAACGAGCCTTTATTAAAACAATACATGCTTTTGAAGATCTGTAGATCCCTAATGTAAATTTGGTTACTGCTTAAACCACACCATGAATGAATGAGCTACTTGCACTTTTCTAATTTTGAGCTTTGCCCGTCTGTCATAAAAGAAAAAGGTATCTATCCTGTTGTTCAGGAATACATTATACTGCAGGAATACTAGTGTTTTTACAATCCACAAGCATTTTGACATGCCTGATTCTCTCATTTGATTGAGGTATACTTGTATCCCATCCTCATTGCTATCAAATGGTTAAAAAAGATGTTTTCAATCAAGCAGTCCCAAATTTAAAAGTCATCAAGCTTTTTCTATTCAACCTTTTGAGGTAGACAAGATCAGGAAACAATCCACAGAAATAACAGAGCTACAATGTATTAAGGTTGTCAGTGATAATAACAAAAAAAATGTAACTCTGATTATACTTCTCCACTTCCTCTTATTTTATAGTGAGTCAAACAGAGGTCACCCCAAGTTACTTCTTAACACTATCTCCCTTCCCAGAATTTAAGGAATGCTTCTGTCCTCTTTGTTTACCTAACAGTTACTGAATATTTGCTTCAAGGCCATCTTCCTGGCTCTCTCCATCCATCCCAAATCTACTAGGTAGCTGTTGCATAAAATGTCACTATTTGATGTTAAGGAGTGAAAGTGAGAAGGAATGAGATAAAGAATGAGCAGTATATCTTGCCAGCCTTTCTATAAATCCCCCAGATACTGATATTCTGTCTGATAGTTACTCTGTGGGAGAAGCTTACGAGATGATTTTTGTCATCTTTTCCTGAAAGATTATCCTTCACGCTGTGGAAAGAATAGTTTTATTAGACAAAGTATTGGCATCAGCCTGTGTGGGCCACACAAATAAGAATCTTTTTGCAGACTCTGTTGCAGCATCTGAGTCATCAAAGGTGGGAGTATATCAAGTGTGTTATTATTCTCTTTCAAATGTCCCATCCGTGGTTAAGGGAATTCTAGATACAGGCAGCCTGCTCAAGTCTAGTCTCCTTGCAGCTATGTTTGGAGCTTAAGATCAACCACCATGTAAAGTTAGTTTAACTCTACCATTAGTAGAGCAGCAGGGGGAGGACAACTTTTGGTGACCATGGGATTGCATTTAATGTTTGGGAGAAGGACAAGGACTTCAGTAGCCAAGCAAACAATGCAAAGTGGGTGAGGCAATGTCACATGTATAACTCAGACCAGATTTTCTGCTCTCCCCCTTATAGGTGTTCTGGATATAAATCTATTCAGGCTTCAAGATTGATTCAGAAGGACTGTTTTCAGCCTCATGAAAACCCAGAAGATGTATGCTATTCATCCAAGCAAGAAAGGTGCAAATTGTTTAATGGGGCACATTAATCAGCTGACTCTTTACAGCAGAAGGACTTTTTTTTCATGTTCACCTGGAAAAGCTTGAAAAAATCCAAAGGGCTGCTTTAATAAGTAGAAGGGAGGTGCTGTGTTTTATCTGTGCAAAGTTAAAGGTTAAAGAACTTTTTCCCTGTCATTTTTTTAAAGTAGGCATAGCCATATTCTCTTTTATACTGAAATTATGTTAAGTCCATTATATTGTAGAACAGTTGCCACAAATGTCTACATGTATTCCTGGTGAAATGGTGAGAAACCATGCCATGGATTTTTGCAATCAGAGTCATCCTTTAAAAAAAAAAAAAGATTCTTGGAGTTATAAGTGGGACCTTAAGTAGATGCCATTCTATCCATCCTTGCTATAGAAGGTTAACTCATCATTTCAATACACATTATTTAGCATGTGGCATATCATGCATGGACTAGCAATATAAATTAACATTGCTAGTCCATGTAAGATATGCTATATATTAGTGGTTCTCAGCCTGTGGTCTGCAGAGCCCTGGGGTCCGTGATGTCATCACAGGGGGTCTACAAAAGCTTGAAGATATGTCATGATTTAAATCTTGAGTTAAGTCTTGGTGGTCCGTGGGCCATGGTCTGTGGCTACAAAAGGTATATAAAGGTGGTCTGTGGTGAAGAAAATGCTGAGAACCATTGCCATATGCTAAATAATCACACACAATACACCAATAATACTCAATACACAAATTGGTTCTTACAAGAAGGTCAAGTCTAAAATACACTACAGAGATGCCTTCAAATAAACTCTGACTCTCAGGGATGTCCATAGAGACTGTTCACAGGATGGGTCACAACAGGTCAGGATGTCAGCCACAATCAAATCCTCCACACCTACATACCTGAAAAACAGACAAGCTTCATTCTCATAGTTTCAGCCTCCACTTTTTTTAACCTCCCGTAGGAGGATCAAGAAGACACTCTTCTTAGCCTATGTGCAAAGGATTAGCCTGGGATTATTTTGTGTTGTGTCATCTCTTCTCTCTGTTAGAGCAAGCGGGGTAGGGGGGACAGTTTTGCTAGAAATCTCAGATTAAAGAATTAGGTAGATTTAAATGAAATACACACTACACACACACAGACACACACACACACACACAGCCCATATAAAATTCATTGAGTATTTTCCTGAATCAGAGTTTCCATTCCTTTACAAAGCAGCTATCACACCATCAGCATCAGAGTTTAGTGTGAAGAATGTATAAACGAACTACGAGAACAGTAGAAACCTGAGCAATTACCTCCAGTCTGCAGTTTATTTTCTTTATAGCATCTGATTGAGTCTTAGACTGACATTAGAACTATATTTGCAGTCAAGGTGTAAATAAATCCAGAGGTTATTTCATAGCCTTGAATCCAGCCTGTCAGTGTGTAATATGAAAGGGAGGGGAGAATAAAAATGGATGACAGAAGAAAGATTTGATAGCTGGTATTCCAAAATCTCACAGCATTTATGTTACTCTGCTCTTCTGAATCAAGACTTCAGATAGTTCAGAACAAGTCTGCCTTTAGCTATTATGTGAATCATCTGCTTTGTTCCATTAGGTAGTTAATGTTGCAACTATATACAAATTCAAATGTTATTACTGTCTTCACTTCATCTTGAGTTTCCTTGAAACTATTCATTACATTGAACTTGTGGCTTGAGAAATATACTCAGAGCCTGGTTTCATACAACATATTAAACCCTAACCTTAGATTAATTAAACTATTTCATGTAAGAAGAAAATCATAGTATGACTTGAATTGATAGTTTAGTTTGTCAGCATACCAAGACATCAACCATAGTCCTCTAAACCACAAAGGTGCAAACCCATTTTAACTTCAAAGAAAATATTGAGATGGTGGTAATGATGGTGATGGTAGTTCCTTTCACTATACAGAATGTTACAAAGGTCAAATTTTATGCCATGATGCCTACTTCCAAAATTTGCATTGTTCTGTGTCAAAAAGGGAAATGTCGTGGAATTTAATAAATACTACAACTCCCCATCTCTCTGAGTTGATCCTTACATACCTCCCAAAATGATATGAATATAGTCTCAAAACTGCTTTTTTATCATGTGTCATCAAGATATATTCATTTTATATTCCAGCCACAGCTTAAAAGCTCGAGGTTGCCTTTAGCAGATCCATTCTTCATCTTCATCGTCATCATCATCATCATCATCATCATCATCATCATCATCATCATCATCACAATTTTAGACACTCAAATCTCCTCCTCCTGTCTCTTCCCTCCCTGATACAGCTGACAAAGTGAGAAAGAGCCTGTGGTCTAGAGGTTAATACAGCTGCCTAACATGCACACAGACCAGGTTCGAATCTCAGAAGGGTATGTCTGGCTGAAGAGAGTTAAGAAGCTCGAATAACTATTCCAGTTCTCCCTTTATTCTTTGTTGGCAATAAGAATATATATATTCTTTCTTTGGTGAATTTATTAAACATAAACTGGCTCTTTTTCAGGTTTATTTTTAAGCCAAATGGTTCTCCTGCCTGCTCTTGTATGTGTCTTCTGGATCTTGTGAGAAAAGAACATCATCTGCAAATCTTAAGTGATTTAAATATGCACCATTTATTTTTATTCCATCTTTTGCCCAGTCTCATTTGCAAAATAGTTCTTCAAGGCAGGCTGAGAAAAGCATAGGTGATATTGTATCGCCTTGTTACACCTCGTTCTATGTTGATTTCCACTATAAGATCATTAAGGCAGATTGTCACCATTGTTTTTTCATATACTGATTGTAAGTAAGCAGTGTCTACATCTTGGTTGAGCAATGCATTAATTATTGCTTGCTGGAATACTGACTCAAATGCCTTTTCATAGTCGATGAAAGCCACACACAAAGGCATGGTCTACTCATTGTGCCTTTCAATGACTTGCTGAACAACCTGGATGTGATCTATTGTGCTGCACAATCTGGATGTGATCTATTGTACCCTGCCTGTGCTCCTTCGGATGTGATCTATTGTGCTGCACAACCTGGATGTGATCATCTGTGCATCTGTGCATCATATATATATATATATATATATATATATATATATATATATATATATATATATATATATATATATATATATATATATTTTCTGAGGTTTTCGCGGGTATTTGTATGTAGGTCTTTGGTTGTTCGGGTTTTCTCCCGCGTAAAATTGGAAGTGTCTTGGCGACGTTTCGACGAAGTCCCATTCGTCATCTTCAGGCTGGTGTTTTCAGCTTCATGCTTTGAGCAGCAATGTGTGGTCTTAGCTGTTTCTTCCTTTTAACTGCCAGTGGGGGTATGAACTGATTGGGTGGGAGCTTGGCTGTGTTCTGATTGGGTGGAGGTGTGTTCTGAATGGTTAGGGGCTTGGCTGTGCTCTGATTGGCTGGGGGAGTGTTCTGTTTGGTTGTGCTCAGGTTAGTCTGAGTTGCAGAGGGGTTTAAGATTTTGGGCTGCCTTGCTATTTTTTGGCTTCGCGTTCGTGGTCGTGCCTCCTCTTCATGGAGGGTGTCAGTTTGCTTCATGTATGGATTGGAGGGGTTTAAAGTGGCTAATGATGCAGCTGTGGTCTGGCTTCTGGTTTGTGGTCGTGCCTCGTCATCGGTGTGGCTTTGGGTTTGTTTTTTGCGTGGATGTGTGGTGGTGACCTCCTGTGTGGTTTTGTGAGTGTGGGTCTGGTATCATTTTTTGTGTTAGGGAGTCGTTTGTCAATAAGGGCGGGTTTCCAAATGGCTGGTAGGCGGGAGGTATCATCTCGCTTGTTCATGCTGTGTGGGCGTTTTTCTATCTCGATGGCTTCTCTGATTATTCTGTTATTAAAATGTTCACTTTTGGCAATGGTTCTGGTATTTTTAAAGTCAATTTCATGTCCTGTGGCTTTAAGGTGTTGGACCAGGGAAGATGTTGGTTCCTCTTTTTTGACTGAGTTCTTATGTTCTTCAATGCGTGCACTTATTCTTCTGTTGGTTTGTCCGATGTATGTGGTGGGACAAGTGGTGCATGGGATTTCGTATACTCCTTGATTTTCTAATTCAATTTTATCTTTGGGGTTTCTAAGGATGGTGGATATTTTTCTGTTTGTGCAGAATGCTGTTTTGATGTTGTGTTTATGGAGGATCTTACTGATTCTGTCTGTGGTGCCTTTTATGTATGGGAGGAGGGCTTTGCCGTTTTCTTGTTCTTTGTCTTGGATTTTAGTGGGGGTTTCTTTTTGGATTAGGTTTGTAATCTTATTTCTATGGAATCCATTGGATGTTAGTACATTGGTGAGAGTGTGTAGTTCGGGTTTTAGGTGTTGTTCGTCAGCTAAGCGTTTTGTTCTGGAGATGAGTGTCTTGGCTACAGAGTTGATCTGTGCTGGGTGGTGGTGTGAGAGAGCGTGCAGATAGCGGTTTGTGTGTGTTTTCTTCTGGTAGATGGTGTGTCCTAGGGAGCCATTGGATTTCTTGTAGACTAAGACATCCAGGAAGGGAAGTTGGTTGTTAGCTTCTGTTTCCATGGTGAACTGTATTTTGGGGTGTAGGCTGTTGAGGTGTGTGAGGAAGTTGTCCAGTTTTTCTTTCCCATGTGGCCAGATTATGAAGGTGTCGTCTACATATCTGAGCCAGAGTTTGGGTTTGTGATCCGATTTTTCTAGAGCTTGGGTTTCAAAGTGTTCCATGTAGAGGTTGGCAATGACAGGTGAGAGGGGTGATCCCATGGGTGCTCCTTCTGTTTGTTTGTATTTTTGTCCATTATAGATGAAGTATGTGTTGGATAGGCAGTGGTTGGTCAGATCTAAGATGTGTTTGGGGGGGTTATATTTGTTTTGAATAGCTGTCAAGGCTTCTTTGATAGGCACTTGGGTGAAGAGGGATATGACATCGAAGCTCACTAGTAGGTCGCTGGG